TCTACTTCTTTTTCTACAGAGACGTTGAATACGAGAGTGGATAGCCTGTGGTTCATTGTGTAAAGCGTCGTTTTTTTAGCTATGGTTGGTTATATAGAGGCTTTTTATTTTTGCCTCACTGGTTAAGGGGTTGAAGGGGGTTAACCAAAGTAGCTCCTTCACCGGCCAGTGAACCTCGCCTTCTCGTTATACGGACAAGATGCAGATGGTGGTGATGTCCTGTACTCCGTAGTCCCAGGAAGTCGTCGGGATAAGAGGAAGTGCGGAATGCTGGAGCGAAGAGACAGGTCGATTTTTGTGCCATTCGTATGAGTGAGTATATTATTGTTATAACTGTTCGCGGCCAGAGAGATGGAAGACAAATCCCCACGTCTTCTCCCGCTAGATGAAGATGGAGAGCCAGTGACCTTGCAGCCCTCTGCAGATGCAAGCGGAGACTCCGGCAGGAAACCGGCATCATCTCCACCAGACCCCAAACTCTCCCCGATAGCCAAGCGCGCATGGAGCCTGGTAAGCGAGGCCGTGCAGCGGCGAGACACCCTTAACGAGGTTGCCCGGGAACGGTACCTTAGCGCAGAAGCAGCAGGCGTCGACAAGCAGCAGCTATGCCAGTATCAGGACGAGGAGTTCAGGCTGCGATTCATGTGGTCAACTCTTATCGACAGCTTTCGGATGCACTGCAATCTTGAGCCGAGCTTGAGACCATCAGAATATGAATTGGCCAGAAAAGTCGCAGAGAAGATCCTGTTGTTCCGAAAACGGTCGTTTTATAATCGATATTCCTTGATCTTTGAGCGCATAAAGGGCAGAGGGACGCTGGGATATCAGTCGATACCAGACACGTACGACAATGACCTGGCTGATTATTGGAGGGGGGCGTATATGGCCATTCTCAAGGAAAGGCAGTATCGCGAAATTCCAGCCAGATTCGCACAAATTCTGCCCTCGACTCTTCTCCAGATGGCGTGTGACCACCTAGGTATAAATCCAAAGAGATGCTTTGACGAGATCCGAGATTTTGTCCGACAGGGACGGTTTTCTTCGGATATTCTGTCTCTGGTTAAAAGGAAACAGCTTGACCTTCTCTGGAGACAGATCACAGTCGATATCAGGGAATTTCCGTTCATCTTCTATCCGCACGAAATCGAACATACCAAAAGGCTCATGATCGCTAACACCCTGTCCAGGATATTAAGCAGATGGTGTAGCTACACCTCTCCCATCGACTACAAGGAGACTCGCCAGTACCATGAGGACGCCAGGATGTTGAATGCCACGGATGGCATAGGAGGTATGGCAGCTAGGAAACGAATAGCCGAAAGCATTGCCAAATCGATATCTGCTAGTGATCCCAAGGATCGACGAAAGCTTTTCGCAGACCTTTTGTCCAAAGAGCTCGTCATTGTTGAAGCTGCTTTAAACACAGCGAAGTTCGAGGCAGGTTGGATGCAGAAGAGTGCCGAGCGTTGTACGCTCCTAACTGTCGAACTGAAAATGATGCTCGACCTCATCCGCGGTGATGAGAGAGTCGAGATATCACAATTTAGCATGTACGGAGAGCAAAGCTGGCCACTGGTCGACTGCCTTGGGGGGACTCCTGCCCATTGGAAACAGGAGAGGTATAAGTTGTAAAAGGGGTACATAGATGATGTTCCGCCCCTGCTTGCTCTGTTTCTGCTTGCTTTCTTTCGACTAGTCAAATGATCTCCACCGTCTCTTTTTCTCAGGGTATCAGCAGTGGTATGTCAATTCGGTGAATTGTCTTCCATCTCCTCCATATTACATATTCCTAGTAGCTGTGCTCAGCTGCTAGATATGAACGTTGTTCAACGTAGCCTCCCACTTGTTATTCCCTTGATTAATAAGAGATCGCCTCAAAACAAGTAAACATCACTTATAATTCCCAATTCCTCATCCACTCTCGATTATACCAGTCTTCCAATGCAGCTTCATCTCTCCGTTTGTCCTTTTTTGTCTCTTTTCTTCAGTTTTTGCCTCTAAAGGTTTTGATATGAAACTTTCACGTGCAATCAAGGCATGAATGAACCTTAATCTTATCAGACCGAAGAGCCTCCTTTCTAAAACGAATCCATTAAGGAAGATGTGAAGCAAATATAAGAAGAATGGATAGCATGAAAGGCGGTTGAAATCCTGTCTAGTTGAAGGGTGAGAGAAATAGCGCAAGGTCACATTCACGGGTGATTTGGTTGGGACTCAACGTCATCTGGGAAAGTGCTTGGAGCATCCTCATCACTGTTATCAAAGAAGCCAACAGGCGACCCAGGGCAGGAAAAGAAACATCCTGATTCTGAGCTTGGGCTGTCTTGACAATCTCCTCTGGATATCTGATTTCTAGTGAGCAGGGACGGCATAGAACCAGCCTCGAGCAACTTTTCCGGGCAGATACGAGACTTCGGCTTCGCGGTTTTGACATTGTTGATTGCATCTAGCAGGTTGCCAAACGCAAGGGTTAACTCCTCTGTCAGGTCAGGCCTTTGATGCAGGCGGCTGCTGAAGTCTCCAACGATATAATCCTTGTCCTGCCTCGATCGCAGATGGTCCATACTCGAAATAATTTGCATAGTCTTGACATCCGCGTACAAGGCAACTGCCTGGAGTAAATCCGGTGCCTTTAGACGTGGACAATCCGAATACTCATGCCACCTGTCCAAGATCAAGGACAGGACATTGTGGCTGTTATAAGTGATGGCAGTTGTCAAGGGGGTGGCTCCCTTTATCGAGATGTAGTTGATATCTGCGCCATACTCAAGAAATAGTAACGCGAAGCTAGAGTTATCGGTCCGGGCAGCATGTATTAGAGGTGTGTCTCCGTCTGTACCGCTTGAATCAGGGTCAGCCCCAAAGTCCAGCAGGTTCTTCAGCAGAAGGATATCAGTGGCATTGCGGGCTGCTACATTCAGTGGCGAGCCCTTTTTCACTCCTGGGGGCATTGGAGGGTCTGGATGGGCTCCAGCCTCGAGTAACAGCCGAACACATGCCGTGTAGCCTCTTGCAGCTGCATTTGATACCGGCCCGGATATCTGTACATCTATGATGTTTGGGTCGGCTCCGTGGCTTAACAGGGTAACAACAGAATGGCTATCCCCTCGTGCCGCCGCCCAAGCCAATGGAGTCCGGCCCATAGAATCCTGAGCATTGATATCTTCCGGATGGAGTTTTATTTCCTCTTCTAAGCTCCGAAGTGACAAACCAAGAACAATACGATGTGTCTGAGTGAAGTTTGACTCGTCGATAAAGTCGTCATAATGGCCACCTCGAGCAATTAGTCGCAATGCATCAGTGCCATCTTCGGGGAGGCCTCCTTCGAGAAGAAAGTGGCAGGCCTTTATCCGAGGGCTATTATCCGACGTGGCTATGGGCCTGTAGTCCGGATCTGCACCTGCATGGAGAAGAAACTCGCAAGTGGCATATTTCTTTCCGTAGAGCGCCCAGCGGAGAAGGGTATAGCCTCTTGCAGGACTTACATCTCTGGGAGAAGCCAGGCCATTGGCAAAAAGATACTTTAAACCTTCTATATCCCCAGCCAATGCAAATTTCACACACTGCGCGTCGTCAGGAACGCTTCTAAAAGTCTGCAGCTGGAAAAGGAGACCAGTGTTGGCTTGATACCCTGCCTGCATACGGAGAATGGTTGAGTTAAGTCCCATGGGGAACCAGTATTCCATGCTAATCTTACTCGCACGGTATTTGGTACAGGTATCAACATCGCAGCTCGGTGACAGATAGGGGATCCCCGAGCATCCAATAAACAGTTGTCCTATAACTCGCCCAAAGAGGCCAGGAGAGGCCCTCCGTAACTGTGTATGGCAGGCACACGTACATGCTCGAGCACATCGAACTCGATACGGGGTAGCCGGTCCACTGTAAGTGCTTAACGCACCAGCTCTAGGTATAGGGGCTTTCCTTGGATGGGGGGAGTGTCGTCTCGCAGCAACGATATTGTACAGCGGTCCAACCTGGGTGAACTGTTCTTCCTTGACTTTTTGTGCCTGGGAACGTAGCAGCTCTTCAACACGGGCCACCCGCTTGTCTACATGCGAAAGACTGCTGATCAGCTGGCCTTGCAAAGCAATGTTTTCCTGGGAAGATTCCCTAGTAATAATGGATATGGCCTCCAACAGAAGACGCATATCGGTCATATCTTGTCTGAAAGCGAATCAAATCAAAGAAGCACAGATCAAACCAGGCAATAGAGAGTACATACGAGTTCGAAGCACCAAGCATGATGTTCAAATCACATTTGACCGACCTGATTTCCTCCTGCAATCCCTGGAGCCTGGTCTTTTCCTTGCTAAAGGCTCCAAGGGCAAATGGAACCGCAGCATCTCGATACGCCGTTCGCAGTCGGCCTACAATTTCTTGCAGCTCCAACAGCTTGACCTCTGCCTGTTTTACCAGGTGTTGAAGAGACAGCCGGTCACTATCGACTACCGCTGTCCGCCTTTCTGTGAGCGAAGCGAGCTCGAAGAGAACGATCTCCAGATCAGCGACTTCGTTGTTCAATGCATGGAGGCGCCCGGGAAGGCTGCGGCAGAGAGACCTCAGCTCAGTGAAGGCCGAGCATATCTTGCCTGCGACGGTGCCAACGGCGATGATGCTTGCCGTGACCGAGAGAGGGTCCATCTTTTTATTAAACAGTGGCCAAAGATGAAACCTTCGCAACTGGAATCGGTGCCTGTTCCCACCAGTTATTGCCCACATCCCCTGATCTTATTGGAGCGACAATTCGTGTGTAAACTCCGGGCGAATCACAGGCGGCGCTGTCTTTTAAGCGCCAGGGGTGGTCTTAGCGCCGCGGGTAATCCCGGCCGGCCGAGACGCGGGTGTTGACTCAACCTTGCGGTACACAGCATCCACGGGGGGTCCTTTGAACAAGACTGGCTCCTTAACTAACGATAGTCTAAGATCTCGTGCTTTAACTAGTTAACGAAGTGTTTAGTGGTTTGCTACATCCTAGAACCTGCAAAACCAAGGTTGCCATGAAGTTTGAAGAGGAGTTCCTGTCACTTCAGGCCGCAGAATGGAGACCAAACTATCTTCCCTACAGACGGCTGAAAGCTATGCTGAAGTTATTGGCCAAAGGAGGGCATCCGCCGTCATATAAAATTAACCTGAAAGGTACGTTTGACCTTGCGGTTGGTGGAGTGAAAATTTGCGTGTTGTCTGACTTCATGCTAGATTTTATGTCGGCTTTTCGCTGTGCTCTTGGTAAGATAAAGGTGTTTGTAGATACCCAGTTGACTACACTCAAGGGTAAAGAGAGCATTGTATTGGAGCCTTATAAACGAGTCCGTCATGGGGCAGCGTCATTGGCCGTGGATGATGAGTACTTGATATACGGTGAACTCCTTGAAGACTACAACAGGTTACACATGTTCATTAGATTGAACTATGAGGCCTCTCAAAGGATAAATTCTAAAGCCGAAAAATTACAGAGGATATTTCAAACAACACCATATTGTGGACTCGATGGCCTTATTGAGGAGCAAGCAGTTTGTGAAAGGCAGTGTTTGACGGAGGTAGAGAGACTACAAAGAATGATCAACAGCACGAGGCAAGGCAGCAATGCTCTGTCTACTTACAACTTGATGAGTCTCTCTGAGGAGTGTTCTAACGCCCGGATTCTCCTTACTACTATCAACAATGATATCCTTGCAAACCAATCCATCAATTTGAGCAGTTTATTGGGAAAGCTCCAGCGCACACCAGGTATTTCCAAGGACATAGTCGACGAAGTTTTTAACACATCTTTGACAATGTCAATCATATGCCGGTCTTGGTCATGTACTACAGCTTTAATCGAGGACCACCCTGCAGAGACAAGATCTTTGGTCAATAGTAGCTGGCTCAATGGTCTTCTCTTGGCTATATTCCGACATTCTCGTCTAAGCCCAATATCTTCCCATGAAAAGGATGCACAGATGAGAGAGGATTTTGACCCTCAAAACTTATGTATGAAATTGTTTAATCTCATACTCAACCATGCCGGGATAAAGGCCAAGGATCTTTTAATCACCCCGGATGCTGCCGGAGCGATTTCTCTACAATATAGTGCTCAAATTGGACTCCCGGTGATTTGTGACTTCATCATAAAGTATATAGAACAACTGGGAATCTCACCAAAATCGGCCATATTGGCTGCAAATACAACAGGTATAACGCCGCTCCAGTGGTCCGTTGCACGGGGGCATGTTCATGTCACTCGCATATTCCTGGATGCCCTATATGTCGGCATAGATGAGGCCAGCGATAACACACCCAATGACCTGCTAGCTATCGCCATAGAATACCAAAATGATGAGCTAGTCCAGCTTCTAGCTTCCAGGTGTACTATGATCAATCAATTCTCTAGCAATGGAGAGACATGTTTGCATGTCGCTTCCCGGGTTGGTAGGAGGGACTATGTTGATACAATTTTGGAAATTACTTCTCAACAAAATTCGGCAGTTGATGTCCAGGAGAAAACTTACGGATGGACACCATTGACTATAGCCAGCACACGAGGATATCTCCCAATAGTTGAAGCTCTCCTTCGCGCTGGTGCAAATGAGCTACTATCTGACTATCAAGGCTGGACAGCAAAGGATCACGCAGCGTTTAGGGGTCATTTTGCACTTTTGAATAGGCTCAAGACGAACAAGACTATAACACCAACAATCAAAAACCCTTGCATAACTACATCACCTCCTAATCTCATGGGTGATACCGCATATCTAATTGTCAACCTAGGGTCAGTGCAAAAGGACAGAGAAATCAGCCCCTTTGATTTGGATCATGCTTCAACGATGTCAAGTCACATGTCACCTGAAAGTGCACTGAGTCTAGAAATTTCCACCTCCAGGGGTCCTGCTCATATACTGAGATTACCCTTTTTAAGGGATCTGGTTGATGATATCTTGATTTTTCCTACTAGCGACCCGTTGGAAACTAATCTTGTGTTTAAACTTCTCAAGAATACTTCACATTCAAGTCTGGGCAATACACTTATTGGCAGCGGTGTAGCTCTTTTATCAGGGAAAAAGGATGCGAATATTTCCCATCATAAGAGCCTGATTAGAGAGAGCACCGTACCGATCTTGGAGAAGGAAACCATGGAGCTGATAGGAAAAATTACATTTACATTTTTCATTGCGACCCCTTTCCTAGATTTGAATACTCGATCCTCAAGTTTTGAGTATCTAGAGAAAACTCGATCAACACAGTTAATTGGACATCGAGGTAAGCCAGCAGCATTTACTCGTATGGCCTTTTCTCACACGCATTCCAGGTTCCGGGCAAAATACTGCAGACCGTGACTATCTTCAGCTAGGGGAGAACACTATTCAAGTAAGAGATACTGCTAATTCAAATAATCTATAGCGTGTTAACCAACTGTCATAGTCATTCACGTCTGCTGCTAACTTAGGGGCATCTCACGTTGAGGTATGTATTACACACCAGCTTTTGATCTATGTGAACTTAATTTGCTGATAGCTCTACAGTTTGATGTACAGTTGACAAGAGATCTTATACCAGTTTTGTACCATGACCTGTCTCTAAGCGAGTCAGGAACTGATGTTGCAATCCATGACTTGACATTGAAACAAGTACGCGATCCGTTTTCCTTTATGTCACGACCTCTGACGTATCTAGTTCATCCATGCTAGCGATATGCAATTATCGTCGAAAAATGACGCCGATAATTCCAGATCACGCTCTCGATCTCTGTCTCGAAACCACAAAGCAGCGGAAAACGAAGCCAGATTAAGAATGAAGCATACGTTATACTTTTCTAATAATGGGTACAAACCCAATACACGGGGCGACTTCATTCAAATACCCCTTGCAACTTTAGAAGAGGCTTTGCTTAATGTACCCGAAGAGGTTGGATTTGATATAGAGCTAAGTATGTCATCTCCGCACTATCTTCCTATAAAAGAATGCTTACAATGGCCACGGTAGAATACCCCCGTATCCATGAAGCGCATGCCATTGAGATGGCCCCTATAGCTATCGAACTTAACACATTCGTCGATACGATACTCACTTTGATAACCCGCTACGCCGGCTCTCGCAACATAATACTTTCATCCTTCACCCCTGAAATTTGCATTCTTCTTGCAATCAAACAAAAGGCATACCCCATTTTCTTCATTACAAACGCAGGAAAGCTGCCTGTAGTAGATAAGGAGGAACGAGCCGGAAGTGTTCAAGTTGCTGTCCGCTTTGCAACCAAATGGGGCCTGGCTGGAGTCGTTTTTGCTTCAGATGTGATAGTGATGTGTCCGCGGTTGGTGAACTATGTCAAAAGCAAAGGCCTAGTTTGCGCTACTTACGGCCCATTGAATAATATTCCAGATAATGTCGAGGTGAGCTTATTATATCCATTTTCTTTATTATTATCCAGTGGTTGGTCTATAAAAATTTACTAATTGCTGACGGCTGGATTGTAGTTACAAGCCAAGTCCGGAGTCGACTTGCTCGTGGCAGACAGGGTTGCCCTAGTATCTAAGACTCTAAAGGGTTTAGAATAATTAAACCATTTAGAATAGTTTTAGTACTGGTAGTCTCCGCTACAAAGAGTGTTGATATCACTGCACAAGTTCACTGAACTCTTGGATAGACTATGGCTAGCCTTAAACAGAAGACATAACTCTTGGGATATACTATGGCCTAGCGGTAATAAAGGGTAAGGGTTATGATAATAAACAGGCTATATCCCTCATTGAAATAAACAAAAAGCGTCTGGATATTAGCTAACTCCTAACTCATATCGAGATATTAAGTAACATAAATCATCTCGGTCAAAAGAAATAGACAGGTTCGGGAAACCCTCTAAGCTTGGCTCTCTCGCGTAACTGCTTTGGTGATGGCATCATCCCCCACCATAGTTCATTCAAATCGCCTATAAGAGGTATCTCCCGTGGCTTCTGTCCTCCCAGTAGGTGGTTGAACCCCTTGACTTTACGTGTGAGCCTGGTGGGCGGGGTTATCGCCATTTCAATCTCCGGCCAGAATGTGTCGGGAATAATCTCAATAGGAACCTTGAAGACAGATTGATACCAGTTCTTCTCATGATGGGGATCGTAGGGGTCATACGGCTCCTCCTCATCGTCCCCATGGGGATTCTCTTCGGTTGATTCCATGACGACAAGTAGGAATGGCGCATCATCACGCCAATGGAACGAATCGAGGTTTGGGAGAGGGCCAGACAGAACTGAATCCACAGACTCGGAGCAAGTAGATAGGAAGAGGTCATAGCCCATACCGGCTGGCACAGCCCCCTTGACCTTTCTATACCATTCACGAAGAGTGTCCTCGTTGGCGCCGTCGAGATCTTTGTCTTCAATCCAATGAAGGATAAAATTCTTCCGTGCTAACGCAACCTCCTCGTACTCATGCCCTCTATGGTTCTCCACTACACGGTCGAAGGCGATATTCAAGGTTTTCTGGGTTCGATCCTTGAATTCCACCCACATCTCCTCGTTATCGTAGAGGGCGGTACGGAATGCAACAAATCCCCAAGAGTGGCCATTGGAGTATCGCTGCCGTGATAATTTGAGGTATTCCGGTGCTTTATATTCGGGTGGAGGAACACCCGCATCCCGCAGCTGCTGGTCCTGACGTCTCTGATACTTTCGCCTCCTGTAGACTGACAACCTGCTAACTCCCTCTTCCCCGAGTACTTCCTTCAAACCGTTGAACATCCTGATTTTTTCGTCCTCGGATAGAGCGGCAAGATTCGCCTCGGGGTCACTTAGACGTTCCCAATTCCATCCTTCAGGCCAATACGTGCTGGAAGCATCCGAGAACGGCTCATCATTATCGTCTGAAGGGCGGGTTTTGCTGTCAAGACGCTGGGGTATATCTGTTGCCATGTTGATATGCACCTCCTGGCCACGGAACATATTCAAATTGAGGTTGAAAGTTCATCTATGTTGCTGCCTGGCCGCTTGGCTCGTTAAATAACTAGCTAACTAGTAAAAGGTATAAATATCACTGCCTAGCCCATAGGATTTCATGGCATAACCTCTTACACTTCCTTTATTCTTGAGTTTTCAGGTCCATAGCTTTGCGGAGTTTTCTGCATTATGACAGCTCTTCAGAAGATCCAAGTTCGGTCCAAGAGGGATGATTGTAAGAGATGCCACCCACCCCGAGTCATTCTTTTCTAATATGATCTAGCTCTTCTGCTGGACTGTTCGTGGTCTTTTCTCCGGTCACCACCGGCCGGGAGTACCTGGCAGTCCATAGACATTATCTTCTATCATTCAGCTTCGTCTAATATCAATATTCCTCTGGATAATTTTGATGATATCTATGTCCTATCTGATTGTGCAAATTCATCTCAAGAAATTCTCTCCGAATGTCTTGGTTCAACAAAAGCGTTGCAATTCATCTTGCAATGCCTTCTCACTACAGTTACATCTCAGGGCCATATGTGTTTGGCAAAACTCATCTTTCCCCTACAAGAGGGGTATATTGTGCGCTCTGATATCGTTCCCTTGCGCCTTCGGGATTACCAACATGTTGAAACAGCAGTCTCTTTTGCAGAGCCACTTAGGATATTTGAAAAGAGTGTAGCTCTGGATGGAGATAAAATAAACAGTCTCTCAGAGCTTTTCTCAGCTGCTGCTGCTGGACTTATTCTTAATTTGAACCTAGAATGCGAGGAGAATATGGGATTGGAAGCAATCTCGTTGCTTGTTGAGTCAGAACTTGAGAACAGATTGTCCCTCTCATGGATACTACCGGGAACTACGCACCGCAAAACACTCGTCCTTGTTGACGCAAATACTGATCATCCTGACCGGGGCGGTACTGGATCTGGCTTCTATCTTGCGGCCATGGAAGTTGGAGTTAATATTGTGGTCATGGATAACGCTGGACACTGGCTTCAGGGGCCCGACTATGCTCACTGGCGCGAGGCCTTTATTCCCACCAGATTGACCAACCCAGTCGAGGAGAACTTAGCTGACCACATCACGGAATCGTTAAGAGCATACGGCAAGCCAGTGGATGGCATAGTCACTTTTGCTGACACATACTGGCCGTATATCGCCAAAGTTGCACAGCAGTTTGGGTTGCCAACTTGTGCACCTGAGGGGTTTAAAATAGCCACAAACAAGTACCTAACAAGCAAGTTTGTTGGTCATAATGCTCATCTTGCATGTAGCGTTGATGAAGCTCTTGATATTGCCAACAAGCAAGACCTTCAGTACCCACTCATTGTGAAGCCATGTGACGGATGGAGCTCAGAAGGAGTTTCTCGCGTTGATTCACAGGAAGCCCTGGCTCTAGCCATTAAGTCAATCGATGCATCCCGCCACGGAACCGAATTTGTTATGGAACCATACTGTTCAGGTCCAGAATTCGACGCTAATTTTGTCTTACTAGACGGAGAAGTCCTTTTCTCTGAAATATGTGATGACTTGCCCAGGTCAGCGGATATCAATGGCTCCAATGGACGAATAATTACTAATTTCCATGAGTTGGATATCGTATACCCTTCTGCGTTACCATCCCTGGAGAAGGACGAAATAAAGAGCGCATTCTTGGACACTCTGCTCAAGCTAGGCTTAAAAAATGGCATTATGCACCTTGAAGGTCGAGTTGAGAACTCATCGGTTGAGTATACCTCTATGGATGGTGCTCTCGAGTTGACGCCCGTTGATGGTAAATCTATAAATCGAAAGCCAAACCCCTGGCTTATAGAAATTAACCCACGCCCACCAGGCATGACAGCTTCTCAGATAACTGAATCCACGTATGGTATTGAATACTGGGCCATAGCTGTGCTTAGTGCTGTGGGCGATAAGGCTCGAGTACGCGCTCTATCACAGCCCTTCAAGCACGGAGCCCAATATACTAGTGTCATGGTCTTTGTTCCTGCCGATTATCCGTCTACTTGCGAGGGTATATTTGACTCGGATGACATCTGTGCCGACTTGATAGCACGAAGGCCAGATCTAGCTAAAAATATCAGCCGGTGTGCATGCTTCATTAAACGGGGCCAGAAGGTGCCGCATCCAAACTCCGGTCAAAATACTTTTATGGCCTATTTCAATGTCTTTTCAAGATTGGGGAGAAAAGAAGCGCTCGATATAGCTCGGCAAGTTAGGAAAGAGATCCATTATTCATTTATTTGAAATTGAGACGTTCCTGTTATTTGTTATCTGGGAGTTAGAATAAGGGATAATTTCTTGTCAACCAAGGGTAAAATGCAGCCTTGTTTCGGTTAGACCCTTCGGCCAAAATAACCCATGACTGGGTACCTTAAGAAATGATTCAACATCCGTATAGCATACATTGTGATTAGTTTCTCCTATATAAAATATATGTTTAGTTAGTAAATTATCTAGACAAGTTATTTTAACACCATCGTTCGAACTCTGATAACTCTATATTAATTTCCAATGAGGTCATGGTAGCCGCGAAGAGAACAGTAGCCCACATACTGGTTGTCAACGAAGAGAATAGGCGCTGTATGTAGGGTGTGCTCGACGTGTACATCCGATACTACCCCGGACAGAGGTATCTTCACTTTAAAGCGCCATCATTGTGGGATTATATGTGTATCACAGCCTGGAAAGGACTAATTTATAGTACATATGTCACATATGTAGCTATTATAAGACCTGGAACAAAAAGCTCCGTACTTTGGATGATAAAGAATAGTAATGAACCATGGGTATAGATGCACATAGATGCACAGGGGGTTTAGCCGTTTCTTTGTTTCGAAGTATGTGGCCACACAAACACCAAGAATACATACTCCGGACCTGCTCCACAGCAAAAAAAGTCAGACTGATTGTCCCTTGTGGCCGAGTCATAGTTTCAGGGGTAGTTATGACTAGATAGATAAATGCTGAGTGTTTTGAGAACTCTGATAATTAGTTACTCTGTACGGAGTACGGCAAGAGATAATATTGAGCCAAAAAAAAAAAAAAAAAAAAAAAAAAAAAAAAAAAAAAAAAAAAAGCCCAAGCCCAGTGGTGCAGTCTCATTGGAATTAAAATGCACTTCCTGATGTCAAACTGATCTCTCGCCAGAAGATATCGACAGAGCTTCGCGAAGTTTGTGCCCATATTTGTTTCCCTTGTTTGAGATGTCAGCCTGGAGTCGTTGTTTGCGACGTTTAACTAGCGAGTTAGCGCCAAGACTACAACTTGGTAGCCGCGGTGGCATTTTAAGTTTCATAGTTGGAGCTAAATTCTAACGTTCCTATTGGACGATTAACGACTTGCCTAATTTAGTTAGATTTAGTTAGTTTCTTCCCCTGACAAACTCTCTTCCATATATTTTTCATATTTCTATGTGCTTCCGTCAACAACTCCAGATGCCATTATCCTCATCGATTCCGCCACTCAGGGCTGTACAGTATAAGTTTTGCTCGGTCAGCAGATATAGCAGGCTTTATTACCTTCGTTTA